TGTTGAAACTTTTGGGTATTTTTGGGTGAAAAATCGATTTAGTACGATCGGTTGAATAGTGGGGAGGGTAAATACGAAGTAAATTTTGTGAAAATGGCCATTTTAACCTACTTTCCATCTATAATAAACATGCAGATATTATAATATCCTACATATTTAATTATGGATCAAAGCATGTTTAAAAGACTGTTTTAATGAGAACTCGCTTCGCAATAATTTTTGAACGAAAATTTCTCTTGATAATTCTGGATAAAACCATATGACGAATAAAAATAATATTTGTAATGAAGAATCGAGAAATGTTTGTGTTTGTAACGAATAAAAAAAAAGAGAAATGTTTGTGTTTGTAACGAATAAAAAAAAAAGAGAAATGTTTGTGTTTGTAACGAATAAAACAAAAAGAGAAATGTTTGTGTTTGTAACGAATAAAAAAAAAAAGAATTGAAAGTTCGTAAAAATAAAAAAAAGTCTAACTATTCGTCTGAAAGAAAAAAAAATATCTACACATTTTTGTTCACTCTTTAGCTTGATTGGCTAATCGTGACAAATAAGAATGAACGCAATCCGATTGTCGGAAATGATTTAGGCAAATAAGTACGTACTTGCATTCTTGGGATGATTCAGTAGCCTCATCACAAGGGTTAATATAAAGACGTGGAGTTTCGTGATAGAAGGAACCGTTTAAATCGTTAGTTGAAAAGGAAGATATATTTTGATCATGAAAATTTGATGAAGGTTGAGTATTGTTGAAAATTTCAGTAGTCGCGGTAGTTTCAGTAGTCGCGATAGTTTCGGTAGTCATGTGAGTGTTAATATTAGTAACAATAGTATTGTTTTGATTATTATTTGGCATTTGTTCATCGTGAATGAAAGAGGAAGGATTGGTAATTAATGCATTTTGGTATACACCAGCAGCGGTCCTTGGACCTCGTTTACCGCCAGGTACAAAAATACAAGATAAATTTCGTTCAATACAGCGAGTACATTTATTTTCTCCAGAATGTACATCGCATTTTTTGCGTTTTCCTCGACAATTTATACATGCTACAGTTACATGATTACGTTTTTTTTGTTGAGACATTATTTTACTCTCATAAAAAACTAAGGTCGAAAAAAAAAGCTCAGTTCAAAGAAACAGTGAAGAGGTTCTTATATTAGGAGAAGGACAGGAATCTGCAGATTTCTGACCCTCCCTTAAAATACGGTTAATTATTATGCTGGTAATATTATATATCCGGTTTAATAACGTTCTTTTCCACATTTGAAAAATTTTATTAAGTTAGCAGCTAAGCAATAAAGAAAACTGCATCGGATCTCGGAAGTCAGCCGAATATTCAGAATACTGTATTAAAAAAAAAACATTGTTGGCCAAATTGGAATAAAGATTAGCAAAAGTAGCAAGCCTTCCACAATGTAAATATGTAAAATATAAAGCCTCTGCCTGTCATATTTATTCAAGCCCGCATACAAACAACTTTATTAGAAATTGATTCACACTAATCGATACCTTTATCAGAAATTGATTAACGCAGTAACTTTAAATCTTAACACTACAGTATTCATCTGTACGTACATTATTTGGCATTGTAAAAAATAATGGAAGACTGAATATATTCGGCATTCCGAGAAGCTGTGCTATATTGCAAGTATTCCGAAAATAATATATGGGATAATCACTTGTGCTCAAAAGAATTGTTGCTTAAAAAAAAAAAAAAATGCATTGTTTGACCTAGTATATGTAAGGGGATATTAATAAGATAGATAATGTGCGTACGTACCAATGATACCTTTATACGACAATGCACAATATGCATACGTACGTACGTACACATAACGGTAAGGAAATTTGACGATTCGATTTTAATCGATTATCATCACCAGCGATTAAATAACGATTATCAATTATAATCGATATAAATAGAACTAATCATGACTTCGTTTATAATCGATTTAATTTATTATTTCAATCGATTTTTATGCATGTCAATTATAATTGATTATTATAAGTTTGATTTAAAATCGAATATAATAGTCGTGCTTGAAGTTAGCATCTGCTTGAAGTTGCAACTTCAAGCGCCTGAAGTTGAAATTACTAACGCATGCAAGAAGATCTAATTTCAGGGGCTAATTTTCACTCAGTGCAACTTCGAGCTCCTGAAGTTGCAACTTCAAGCATGACATAATTAATAATCATAATTATGTTTTGGTTATTAAACACGTAAAGAATAAGATAGAACAATAGAGAGTAATAATAAAGAAAAGAATAAAGAATGATCATCTATTTGTTTATGCATCGTCTTTGTTCTTGTTTATATGCGCCATATAGACCAATCGAATTACTTGATTTTTCTGTTCCTCTTTTTTTTTTAAGATTCTATACCTGTGCCAGTGTCTTGCACGGCCGAAAGATAGTGTGAATACTCCTTACTTTTTTTTATATGTATGAATATATTTAATAAACTTCTTTTATTTCAATATAGATATTTTATGTTTTATGCAGTGTATTTTAAAGAATCGAATATCGTATTTTATTGCTTCGCACTATTATCTTGATTCCTAAATATATCTCCCAATTTGATAACTATCAATTAATGAATGATCTTGTAGGCTAGTTTGAGAGTTAAAAACGGAATGTTTAATCCGTATTTATCCGTAATTGTCAAAAATGATCACAACTAGGGTAGGGACATAAAAGCACGGGCATGTCCGTGGGCATTAATATATGTGGCGGATTAAAATGAAATTAGATTAAATGAAATTTCGTATAGTGTAAAATAGACAAGCCACCTAAAATTACAAATTTAGGGTGCATTTTTTGGCATTTTTTAGGGGTAGGGTCAGCATGAGGGATAGAATTTATAGCAAAAAAATATATGTGGGTTTTTTTAGAAGGTTAAATAGAAACCCCAAATTTCATTTTAATCCGACTTCATTATGATCTGTTACAATTATTG